TTCTCTCGAGAGGTGTTGCAGTTCTCACAAGGAAGTCCTGCACACTGAAGTACATTCTGGAAAGTAGTGCAGGATGTATAGCTTGATGTTGGCTATGCTTGCTGCACTTACCGTTGAAGCAAATGCCCCTCCATTCTCATAACCAGCAGCCTTCTGTGCTTTTAGAGCCTGGAACTACCGCCATACCTATGCACTGTAAGTGTCTATGTTTCTGCTTCTTTTTTTCAAGCGGAAGTCCTGCACACTGAAGTACATTCTGGAAAGTAGTGCAGGATGTATAGCTTGATGTTGGCTATGCTTGCTGCACTTACCGTTGAAGCAAATGCCCCTCCATTCTCATAACCAGCAGCCTTCTGTGCTTTTAGAGCCTGGAACTACCGCCATACCTATGCACTGTAAGTGTCTATGTTTCTGCTTCTTTTTTTCAAGCCCTTTTCTTTATTTTCTACCATATCATACCCTTCAAAAATGTTCCTCTTAAAAAGCAATTTAAAAGCAAAGTGCTGGATCTTGTTTTCTAAGATATGGTTGGCAGTGAGAGGAAACTGCTTTTCAATTAAATTTGTTTATCATTATTCATTTTCTAACTGAGGAACATATCAGTCATGTTTTAGAGAACCACATCAGGGCTCCCTCATCAATTAGAAAACTACAAGAAAACATAACATGCAAATAAAGAGGACCAATGCTATCCTCTACCCTATTTAAGAGTCAGACTGAACATCTGTAATCGAGAATACAACACCTCAAGTTTAAAACAGACTCCCATTTAAAAAACAGCACCTTAGAGGCTGTGGAAGAATAAAAAGTAAGCAAAAGTTAACAGATGAACTGGAAAAGACTTTTGAAGCCCATGTCTACATAAGCATATTTACCCCCAGCAAGCATGTAGTACTGTGATATGGCTTTCAAAAAGTACAAATAGTACAAAATCAAAATGCAAGGAAGCTTAATTTTGTGAAATAAGAACTGTATAATCACATTTCAGAAAATTACAGAAAGTATCTTGCTTGAGGCACAGCATCTTCTTGGCAAAGAACACCACAGACTGCTGCCATTCCACAAGCTGGAGATCATCCCCTGTAGCTAACTAGGCTTTCAGTTATGCCACGAGATACAGGATACGTCCATGTGCAAACTCAGAAAAACATGAGTTGCTCATAGGTTTGACCAGGTAGTGACAAATGCATCTTGTGTAAGTAGCTACCATAGGCTTTTGCTACAGGCATTTCAACAGGCAGAATGCTTTTCAATAGTGAACTTATTAAGAAAAAGCATTTCAATGACATGTGTATTCAATTAAGCAATACTAACAAAATTAATACAAACACTTTAACAAATGTATGTAACGAATTTTATAGACAGCGTATAAAGTCTCCAAAGTCTCCCATGAATCTATAAAGTGTTTGAGAAATTCACTCATTTATTTTGTTGATCTGTTTTCCAGCCTGATTGCTGATCCTTTAATAAGTCATGTTTAATACAAGTCTGGCTTTAAACAAAAGTGGCCTAAATCTAAGACATGTTGGTATATAACATTAGAACCAACATTACTGATTTTTCTTCCTTTTCCACTCCAGTTCTCTCTATACTGCCTGAAAACTGGCTCTAGTGAGTTTTGCAGCATTCAAGAGCCAGCTTTGGTGTTCACAGGCTACAGTAAGGAGAAGGAATTATCCCATACTCCATCTGTTTTCATGAGATTTTGCTGTTCTGCCACCAGATGTCCAGCATGGGATACAGCTCACTGTTTTCACAACACATCCACAGTCTGTATATGTTAAATTAAAACCAACTTACCCTGATTTTGCACTATCACATGAAATGGAAAAATGAAAAGGGAGTAAAGTAAATAGAACAAATAAAATGTAAGAGTGGGATTAAGAACAATACTTAGCATAAATTTTAAAAAATAAATATAGAAGCGTGCTACAGAAGAAGAAAAGACAAACAGGAATTAAATACACCGACAAAATGAAGAACGTGTTTAGTATTCTACATACTACACAACACAAAATGGCTTTTTCCCTATCGTTCCACTAAACTGAATTTTAGACAGATGTAAGCATATTAGAATTCAAGAATGCAGGCGACCGTTCAATTTATGTCAGGTTAAGGGCTACAGTTTATGGTTAAAACTACTGCAGAACTGAGGGTATGTCATCCTTCTGACACATATGCTTTTCAAATGGCAAAAATAACAAAATAAATGAAATGACTAATTAATTATTGCTAAAATGTAAGCAAAACCAAACCACTATCTGTAGTTGTAAATACTTGAATAATCACTGTTTCTATTGCACATATTTCAGCTTTAAAAGATGACTTAGCTGGCTGTACAGCTCAGTAAATTCAGTATTTGGCTGCAGAGCCAGAGGCTGGAATTTCAGTTCCCCACTTTGTGTCCCAAAAGAAGAATCTGCCTGTGTAGCTTTGGGCAAGCTGTACAGTCCCATGGTGCCTCCAGACAAGGGAATGGTAAATCAGTTCTGAGTAGCTTACATCCAGAAAACCCTGGAAGGGATTGCAGTAAGTCAGAACTGACTTAATAGCTCATAATAATAATTTTTTCTGTTCCACTTCTATTTTGGCTACACTGTCTATATTTTTCATATGTACATCTAGTTATTCACTGAGCTCTTACAGCTTTCTGTAGTAGCTAATATGTGCCTTTTAAGACTGCTTATAACAAAACAGATAAAACTGATAAAACCTTTTATATATACAAGCAAGAGAAAACTGGTGGGAGTTTCACTATGATTAGGACTTCACTATTTCCACTGGATTACGATCTCACTTCCACCCATAGCGGAACTTCATAACTAAATCCTAATTCGCAGAGGCATCTCAAAAAAGACAAAATTAATTCTCCTGGAATCAGCTAATTTGGGGTTTTAATGGGGTTAGAATCAACACTTTAAATTTTACCCAGAAAGAAACTGAAAATGGAATTCAGGTATACACATGTATAACTGCTGGAATTTGTTTCCTAAAGTACACCTCGTGGTATTCTAGACCAACACTTCCAAGATGTCTTTGTGAGGAGTCACAGATATACCATATTTTTCCATATATAAAATGACACTTTTTCCTTAAATAATTAGACAAAAAATTGAGGGTCGTTTTATACATGGAAGGCAAACGCTTTTCCCTGCCTTTTACAAAGCCAAGGGGCTTAGCAAAAAGGGAAAGCTCCCTTTGAGTAAAATAGCAATGAAAGGGCTGCATGGTCGCAGCCCTTTGCTCCTGAAACACTTTCATTGCTGCTTTACCCAAAGTAAAGCCCCACAGATCTTAGGAAGTGGGTAAAACAGTCATGAAAGGGCTTCAGGATCAAAGGGCTGCGATTGCACAGCCCTTTCATTGCTGCTTTACCTGAAAGGAGCCTTCCCTTCCTTTTTGCTAAGCCCCATGGCTTTGTAAAAAGGCAAGGAAAAGCGGCGGTCAAAGGGAGCCCTTTGATCCCTGCTTTTCCCTTCCTTTTGCTAAGCTCCATGGCTTAGCAAAAGGAAGGGAAAAGCAGGGATCAAATTTTCTAATTTAAGGTTAGAAAAGGGGGGGTCATCTTGTACATTGGGTCATCTTATAAACAGAAAAATACAGTAGGTTGTTATGATGGGACTACTGATTATTCTCTCAAAGCAACGGCAGAAATCATGGTATCAGAAAATAACTGCCAAAACACAGAACTAGAAGCTAATCATGTTATAGTCATTATAGTCACTTTGAATACACAGATGTACTTAAAGATTCATTAGTAAAAGTACAAAAGGAAAACACCAGTCAATTTTTCATTAACATAGCTATGAAAACAAATGATTCGGGCACAAACTTCATTAGTGTTTCTACACTTACTTTTTTTGTAGTTTTCTGTTCTTTTCTGCTTGTCCTCCCAGTTTTCCAAGTCCCAAGCCGTCCTGAGTTGAGTTATCAGCTTCCATTACCGTAACTGAAAGAACTCAATATTTAGCTGACAGTGGCAATAGAGGTGTTCTACTCTTTTTTCATTATACCAAACCGCAGAATTCCCCAGGAATTCTCCAAGCAGAATTCTGGGAGTTCCAGCCCAGAGACACATACCTGCAGACACCTTCATCCTGGACAGGGCTGAGGCCTCCTTTGAGGCATTCTTCTAAGCTGTTTCCTGTTGGCTCACCTGGGAGAAAGGCCTAAATTGGAAGGCTTTGAGGCCTAGCTCTGCCCATGTTACCTGGCTCCTGTCCCTGGGCTCGTCGGGAGCTTTCTTTCTGAACAGAAAGGTAGGAAACACTAGCCTCAAAGCATTCTAGTCCAGGCCTTTCTCCCAGGTTTTAGGTGTCTGTCAGGCAGAATTCCCACAATGGAAAATTATGGGATCTGTAGTTCAAAACATCCAAAGATTCCATCCCTACTGCACATACCTACTGATGCCAGTGGGTTTTCAAAGGTTAACATGTACAAGACAAAAGCCCCAACTTGGCATACACATTTATGTTATATATAAATACTCAAAAATGAGTTTTCCTTTAAAGCCACATTTATTTAATGGCATGTAAACACTGCATCCTAGTTTCTGAATTCTGCTATAAACATACGCCTCTGGGCCTAAATGGTAACAAGCATAAGAAGTACTGTATTATATTCTAGAAACTGGAGACACAGTTTACTACAGTGCATATCTTAAAATACCCATAGCCTATCTGTCACATATCCAGGTTTCAGAAGACAATGGTGGAAAAAGGGAGAACCTTATTGTTCCTCCTGAGTCCTTGTATCTCTTTTCAAATCTTCTATCGTGAGTGTAGTTTCATTTTTGATTAAATTAACATTATTAGCATATTGTGATAACAAATTTGGTCAGTTTCTGGAAACTACACTTATACAATAATCTGCACATTCAAGAAAACCTCTCATTATGACTATGCTATCTATATTTGTCATGATAGGAGAAGTATTTTCTGCAAATTTCTAGGCTGAAGGTCATCATCATTCATTAGTTTTTACTCTATACAACAATTTCCTTAATAATTGCTAAGTTTCCTACTTTAGGGTTCAATAATGAACTAACCTTGTCCCAAGCTTTCCTTGTTGACCTGTCCAGGTCGACCTTTTTCTTTTTTACCAAACAGGCGACCAATTGAGGACTTGATTCCCTTTTTTTTAGGGGCTTTGTGAAGGGAATCTTGGCTACTATTACTGCTGCTAGGATTGCTTCCTTGCCCATCTTGAGAACCTGTGGAACTGTGTAGAACAGGCACAGTTAAGCCTTTGATAAAACATACATTACACATACATTTCAGATACACATGCATTTTCTGGCGACATCAACTTCTTGGCACAATCTGAAGTTCAAATAAAAGTTAGTGCTGGCATTAGTATTGTTCAGTTTTAAAATACAGTATTAACCTATAGTATATCACAGAAGTACACCCTCTCATATTTCATAAATATTTTAGTGTATCTTTTCATGTAACAACACTGAAGAAATGACACTTGGCTACAATGTGAAACAGTGAGTATATAGCTTGTATAACAGTGCTGTATAACAGCTTGTATAACAGTGCTGTCCCCTCACAGCCATTAATGTCTAAACTGCTCGCAACAGAAGTGAGTCCACCCCTAAGTGACAATGACCAAAGTGTCATTTCTTCAGTGTCGTCACATGAAAATATATACTATAATACTTATGAAATGTGAGGGGTGTACTCACTTCTGTGATATACTATATAAAACATAGGTTTCATGGTATTTTAAAGATATTCTCAAAAATAATACCTCTACCACAATACTATTACTTCAGCATTATATCCTTATATTATGCTTAATGACTATGAAGAGAAACAAGCAGACTTGAATCCATCAATAGAAATTTCTGTTAAAGAGGCTACAGTTTGGTTTTGGTTATCTATATTTTAAACCAGTGGTTTTTTTAACCTTTTTGCAAGAAGCACCCCCTTGAGCCATTGAGGAAGTTATCATCGCCCCCCTCCCCACAGTGGTGGCAGTGGCATTGGATCCGTTTCCAGCACCAGCTGCTTGGATCCGCCTGCTGGATCTGCTGCCAGCACCGTGGCTGCAGCCGCCTTCTCAGGTTTGGCTTGCTCCATCGCTCCCCCTTCTGTTCCTTTGCCCCCGCGTCACCCCTTTTCGTTCCATCGCCCCCCTGAAAAACAAAATGACCCCCTGGGGGCGATATCGCCCAGGTTAAGAACCATTGTTTTAAATGACTGTGGGAAATAATCTGATTTTGATACATTTTATTATAGTTGTAACTGGAACTCTTTACCTATGTATAAATACATACGTATTTGCTGGCGTACAAGATGACTTTTGGGCCCTGAAAAACATGCCTCCAAGTTGGGGGGGGTCGTCTTATATGTCGGGAGCACTTCCAGCAAACCCTCCCTCTCTCCCAGCGAAGTCACTTACCTGGTAGTAAGACCGTGTAGACCTAGCCCGCTCCTCCTTGGTAGCCTGGGAATAGTCTGACTCTAGCACCGAACAGCTGGCTGTCGGGAACCAGCAGAGAGGTGGCAGCCATTTTGAGATGACCACATGGCTGCTGCCTCTCTGCTGGTTGCCAACAGTCAGCTGTTCGATGCCCATGCTGTCCTTTTTCCAGCAAACCCTTGCTCTCTCCCAGTGAAAGGAACCAAAAGAGGCAAAACGAACTCTACCCATGATGCAGCCAAAGCAGAATCACGCATGCGGAAGAGGGGGTAGTCTTATACAGCAAGTATAAGACTTATACAAACGCTACATTTTGAGTGGAAATGTTGGGGGGGTCGTCTTATACGACCAGTCGCCTTACACACCGGCAAATACAGTAAGCCTGCCTTTCACCCTAACAAAGCTCCCAAGACAGAATATAACACAGTCAAGACAAAAAAAATTAAACTCAATTAAAGACAGAGAAAATGGAGAGCTAAAAGATGCAGCATGATATGATTCAAAAGGAAAGTCAGCAGCAGATTCCAGCACTACAAAAAGCTCAACAGAATAAAAATATTTTTGCTTGCTTAAAACAAAACAAAAACAGAACAGAAAACCTCATGGATGCAGCTTGCCTCTCTTCTCTTAGGACACGGGGAATTTCAGAATCAGATACAGATACACAAAACACTGTTCCCACCAACCAAATCTCTTTAAGTGGTGAGATGTAAATAGGGCCTCTGGAAAGAGTGCAATCTGCAGGTGGGTTGACAGAAAAGAAGCTCTTACATATCCTGGACCCCAAGCCATTTAAGACTTTGCATGTAAAAATGAAGTAAGAATTTGTAAAACTCTTTTATGAACTGCTTTTAATTATAAGATCAGATAGGAATTTACAGGGATTGAAGAATTTTAGAATGTCTCACCAGTCAGTCAAAACTTTCATCAGTCAACATGACTGGACTATAGCCTTGCAATTTATGTTTAAATTTAAATTTAAACTAGGCACTTGTTCACTTTTATTTCTACATAACAATGTGTAGAAACCCAAAATAAATATGCACTCAGACTTGGGTTGCTTTATTGCCTGCGTGCCTGTGGGGTCATGAAGCTTGTATTCTGAATGCCTTTCTTTTGAATGTCTCCAGCAAAAATAAAACTGAAAGCAAAAGCACCCGGCCTCTTAACCCATATTCTCCAGCATGGGACTACTCTACATTTTCCTGCCGAGCTATATATCTATGCACCACTCAAACTCTCTTTTTGTGAGAAGAGGGCTGTTTTCCTTTTGCAATTGGAAGGGGGAAGGGGAGGACTGCAGGATCAGAGAGAGAGAGACAGACAGACAGACAGACAGACAGACGGTTGGAAGGTAAGGAGGCAAGGAGCTGTGGCTCATCAAGCAGTTTTTTTTTCACTCGTCACAGACGAGTGCATTTTTCAAGTCCTGGGAATTTAAGACAAATCAGAAGAAAGTCAAGTGGGACTTGTCTCTAATAAGCATGCTTGTTAGGATCATAGTTTTAATCTGGAACTAGAAGTCATAGAAACTGTGCAGCTACTTGCAAAGGCACCAGTGCCACATTTCTTCTTACTTTTCAAAATAAGGATAAAGAGCGAAATGTTAATTTAAAAAGGGACAAGACACTGTGCAGATAAGGACAGAACAGAGTCCAGGAAAGACAGACATTGAAATCCTGTTCTTCAGTATAGTAATTCACAGCCAGAGTAGGTCCACAGTATCAATGATAATTAAAGAGAAACTGACTCATCGAATCCATGCAGACTCAGTGGGCCTCGTTTAGTTCTGTTACTATGCTAAACAACAGGACTTCAGGCAGAGAGCCCAGAGGGCTGAACATTAAGTACTGGACAGAAGAAAATAGAAGCTTAAAAGAAAGGGAAAGAAAGGACCAATGGGTAAAAGGAAATTTTGAAGACCAAAAGCAACCAACCAACCCAACCCAACGAACAGTAGGACATTTAAGCTGGTAGAATGAAGCAAACGAACCAACCAGGCATTTTTAAAACTGGGAATCAGCCCCCAAGGAAGCAATAAATTATCAGACAAAATTTTGGATGTAGGTCAACAACTTTAACTGTGCTCATTAATACAACTTACTTTCTGAGATCTCTTATGTCTTCATGGCTCATTGTATGCAAAGCTCCTTTATAAGCTCTATCCAAATGAAGAGATCGAGGTGAAGAGGGTGGTGACGTCTCACATTTTATTGTGGCCTTGTCATCTCTACCTTCTTCTCTTGAAACCTGGGACTAAATACAAATAGAAATTGAATACTAATTTGTCTCCATCTGAAAGCAGAACATTCTAAATGTTACAGATTTTATACTTTCAACAATTGCCATATTCATGCCAAAATATAGGATCTGCTATTTCAACAAAGCAAAGTATATGAAGACTGTGGGGGCTACAGGTAACCTTTTTTTGTTCTATCCAATTTAAGTCTTGCATACCTTGAAGAGAATATGGCAATTTAATGAAAACAAATGTTTCTTGTGATTACAAATATTTGAAATGGACTTTGATAGGAATAAGGAAATTAACTCTGGTATTAATGGCTGAAATTCAGAAGGTTATTTCACAGTTTTTCAATTTTCTAACAGCAGACTTCAAAGTCCAAAATCTGCTCTTTAAATTTATTTATTATTTCAACTTCTACACTGTTCAAACACTACCTGGGCAGTTCAAACATTCCCTGGGCAATTCACAACACATAAAGACATCATTACAATCAAACAGTACAAAATTACGATATACAATAAATACCATAAAAACCCTGTCCTTAGGTAAACTTGATTCCAATGGGATTTAAGTCCAACTTGATGTAGTTAATTACCAATTAATTAGTGACAGGCCACCCCTTGGCATTGTGACACTATTATCTCCAATTCTCTAGGGCTGGTGGTCAACAGAATACTGGAAGGGCAAAGAATTCATTCCCATGGATCACTAACTAGGCATTAATATTTTAAGATTTAATGTGCTTGGGTCAAGAATGTGTTCTCTTAATACTTTGAAATGCCACGCACAGTGATGATGCTTCATAAAAATAAACCACAAGGGTGTGGACAGAGTGGAATTTCACATCATTAACCCACCAGTGCTTTCGACAGCCTCTCACTGATGACATCTGGCTGATTAAAGCAAGATGAAAATACAGTGAAATTCTTTAGGAGCAACAAACTTTGAACTGTTTGGTAGAGAACTTAGGCTGCAAAGCAGTATATGAACATACTCAAATTAAAGTAACTATAAGCACTAAATTTAAAATGAATTAATTTTCACAAGTAAAAATGAATTACATTTTTACATTATGAGAAACTTCTGAAATCCATTAAAACAAGAGGTGGAGTATAGGCAACAAGAATTGTACAAGATACAATTGTACAATTGTAAAAGATACACTAAAGGGATGTGTCTGCTTCCTCCCAATTTAGAAATTATTTGCACACAAAGATGTATAAATTGCTTACAACAGGCTAGGTATCCATAACTCTGATGGGCAAAGGTGATTTCTAAAATTGTCTATGCCAGATACCTGCAATAGCCTTCCATGACTTAGGTTATGGAAGGAACCTAATGCTTGAAAATAGCACTGAATCCCTGCCTGCTGATATTTGCACCGTGCTGCAGGGAGTTCAAGAAGAAGATTAGATAGGGAAAGAGGAAGGAAAATACTATTATATACAGTCTTTCTCTTAAGTTGGAAAGAAAGGTCACCTTTGAATAGCAAATCTGTAACTTTTTTATGGAAGGGCCATCACGAAAACAAGCATTGCAGCTGGTATTATACCACTCCCCTTGTGTGGTAGCATGGCCTGGTACTGTATACTTATTTTGATCATAGTCCCCAAAACAATTTAGAATATTTGCAATATACATGATACCATTTTATTTATGTAGAACTCAATCCAAGTTCACTACTGAAGATTTACCTTTCTATGATGTTTCCTTAAGTCACTAGGCTGACAGAGGCATGCAAAGAAGAGAAATTAAGATAAAGCAGACTTGTTGATGGTTCAGATTAATTTATGGAAAAGATTTTAGCAGCTTAACATTCTCTGCAAAAGCTAAGATATATTTCCCAGTAAACTTGTCCACTAAAACCTGCTCAAGTCAAAACACAGTTCCAGTCTAAAAATGTATGGTAGGCTTGCTGCAATGCTATTTGAACATAATTAACTTTGAGAACCAGCATTTAGTGGTGATATAAAAGTAATGCTGACATAAAAGCAATGGTAGAAATTTCTTAGCCATGAATAAGGAGTTAGATTGGAATAAAGTCCTCTAATGTATCATGCATACATGTATGACAGTCACGATAAAAACACTTTTGACTTTTATTGCTGTTGCTAACTAAGCATTTCTATAAATGTATGATTTTTTTCAACATGAAAAAGGGACATTTAGCTCTTTGGGGACTAATTATTGAAACATATTTTATACTCTTACACTGAAAGGCTTGCTAATGATGAGTAATTATGCTGAAATACTGAGAAATTTGCAACATACCACTCAAAAAAAATTACTGGAATTGTGAAAGTAAGTGAACTACTTCATAAGCCCTAATTTGCTCTTTCAGAACACAAATAAGGTACGCTTCAGGACCAAGTGCACAGGAATCCCGTTCAAATTATTATATCTTAGCTTATTCTACTGATATATGTGCAAGCCTCTTGTTCAAACAGGAATCCTCTTCATTCGAAGCCCTTTACTCTATCACTCAAGCTCTGATTAAACCAGGAATCCCTATTTAACCAGTTCCCCATTTCATCCAAACCAGGAAAATATGACCACGTACTTCAGAAAAAGACATTTTCTAACAGCTTTTAATTAATTTCAAAGTGTTTTTTTTTTTTTTGTAAATAATTATTATGGTTTGTCCCCTAGCTGGTAATTCTAGCTTTCTGGTCCTTAAAACGCAGGGAATTTTAATTAAGACACTTCTTTGTTTAAATCACAGCTAAAATAGAAGCACAGGTTTGTGTAGATAAAGGCTTAAAAATCCTGACTAAATGAAGAGCTAACTAGAAGTCTATTTGGGGGGAAAGAAAGAAAAAGAAGATACTTACTAGTGTCATAATGCCTAGTCTATCTACTTCCCGAGCAGGACTGTGTGGTATTCGGCGGGGGGTAGAGCGGCCACTGCCAGGTGGGGAAGTGCCAGAAAGAGTGCCACCAGAAAAAGGAGGAGGAATAGAGCTCATTGACCTAAATCGGCCAAGACTGTCCAAACTCCCACTACCCACACGGCTTTCAATTTCTTCTGCTCGCTGTTCAGTGTTCTCCTTTTCTTCTTGTATCAGCCTAAACAATTAAGAATAAAATTCATTTGTCCAAGTGCACTGACTACAAAACATGGCCACAAGCAAAGAACCAAGACAATGAAGCAGAGTAGTGGACCTATATAAAAAGTTGTACAGAATGCTCAACTATACATTTGGGAGGATAATTGATTCTTTAAATCCAAATGGAACAAAAATGTAAGAACATGAATCAGAAATACAGATTTTGAAATGTATTCTTACAAATGGTTCATTTCAATATATACAAAATAACATGACAATGAGATTAATTTAAGGCTCCTATGGGGCCCTGCTTAGCAGTGGAGCAGGAATGAAAAAGAGAATACAGAGTCAAAATTTTCAAGGAAGGATCAATGATTTAAAATTGTTCAGAAAGGAAAAAAGTACAGTCAAGTTATTTTAAAAAGAGTTTAAAATAGAGATTAGTTTTCAGACATCTGTCTTTTTGTTCCTTCGCCAGATCTTCTCTTTTAAAACAAAAGGAAGAAAAGCAACAGGTTAACATGGTGGGGCTGTAAACCGAATACAGCACTGTCCAGATCAACTGTAAATTTTCACAGATGCGACAGTATAACCACATAGTAAAAGCCTTGTTTGAAAAATAAATAGTATAAGGAAGCATCATTGAAAATATGCATCAGAAAAGGAATGTTGTATAAGATAATTAAGCTGTAGTAACTACAGTTGTGTTCAAAATTATTCAACCCCCACTGAAATTGAATGTTTTGGCCATTTTGACATTGATTTTGATCATTCAGTCATCTTGCTTACATTTACATGAAAGAGGCACTTGTAGGTCAGAGAAATATAACCTTAAGTTTATAATGAAATAACCACAAATGATAAAACTACGATAAAACACATAACAGTATTTTATATAACTATTGGGACTCCACAGAGGAAACTGTAAGTTTTCTTCAAGGCAATAATAGTTGTATTTGCACCTGGTCACAGTGTGTGTGTGGGCACCTGGTTACAGTGTGTGTGTGTGTGTGTGTGTGTGTGTGTGTGTGCACCTGGTTACTGTGTGTGTGTGTGTGTGTGCGTGCGTGCGTGCAC